TGCCGTGGCAGCCAAGTTCTAGACACTTGAATAGAATGTGGGAAAGATACGCCGGCTGGCGAAGTCAGTATCTGAAAAGAATTTGAGTGGTTGGAATGGCTGACATTACTGAAATACAATGCACGAGGTCTGGAAAAACCAGGGGCTTGATCATATGTTGGCCTGAGGTTCAGGTGTCACGGACGCAGGTGTCGACGGCACTTTGGGCCCAGCACACCCTTGAGCTGTGGCGGCTCAGAGGACAGGCTGGGGTCAGAGGCAGAGGAGTCAGCTCTCAGTCATTTTTGACTCGGAACCCTCCCCTCCCAGGAGATCCATGGCCATCTCTAGAGCTTGCTAGGGGTGGAGAGTCACGGGGGACATTGACAGAAGCACATCTGGGGGACCAGCCTGGGCCACCAGGGGGCATAGGGTGTGTCTTCCAGAAGAACCTGAGCCTCTCAACCCACAGGACCGCTGTGCACCCTGCAGGCTACAGCAGGGATGTTCTGGGCCCCAGGGACCCTTCCTGGGTGTGGCCGGAGTGAGCAGAGCCAGGAACTGGGCGGTGGTCGTGTCCCTTAACGTCCGCCAGGCCTTCCACATTCATTGTCTTATAAGGAGTGAGGTCCCTGGCATAGAGGCATCTAAGGCTGGGCACGGTGGAGGTTGAGGCTGCAGCGTGCAGTGACCGTGCCTGCGGATAGCCACTACACTCCAGCCTGGAAAACAGCAAGAATCTCTCTCTCAAAAAAAGTGGGGGGATCGAAGTCTCTCAAAAAAGCTCCTTATTTTCTGTCTTAGGGTTTTGTCAAGAGGGTTTCCTCTGTGTTATGTAAAACCCCTTAAGGGTAAGTGTTTTCATCTTCTAAAAAGGCCTCCTTTTCAGAATTCCCATCCATTCGGAAGCAGGTTTTAACTGAAAGTCCTCTGGAGCCTTGGCCCAGGCACCCTCTGTGCCAGGTCCTGAGCTGGGACCCTAAGAGGAGGGCAAGCAGGAGCATTGCTGTACTCTCTCACTCGGGGCTAGCCTATGGCCCCACCTCCGGGGATACTGAGGGTGACGGGTGAGGCGCTCCAGGGGTCCAGGAACATGAAAGTGGAGCAGCTGTCTGGGGTGGGAGTCCCAGCTCTGCTCCTAGCGTGCTTGGGACGGCGAGCAAGCTGCTCATGTGGGATCCTCGGCCCCTCGTCTCTAAAACGGCGTCAGAGTCCCTACTGCCAGGGCTGTTGAGGGAAGATGAAGGAGGGCCGTGAGACCCCTGGCGTGGTCCTGACGCTGCTCGATCCCTGACCCGCAGCCTCTGTTTCTGTCAACAGTGCCCGTGGTCTCTGCCCACAGGGCAAGGAAGGAGGACATAGACATGGTGGGCTTTGTAGAACTCTTTTCTGGGGAAATGGTTCTCCACCCTGGCTCAGATGGGACCCGGCAGGGACACCCTGAGGGGGGTGAGGACAGCAACAGGGTTCATTGTTTGCCATCAGAGACCCAGCTCTGAGGCCCTGTGGGTGACCATTGACCAGAGCCTTTCTGGAAACCCCTAGCAGCTGGACAGAACCAGCGAGAGCCCTGCCTTTCAGCCTCTTATATGCAGATGCAAGGGGTTCGGTTGCTTCTGTCCTCTTCAGAGATGCTCTGATGTCAGTATTCTTTAAGCAGTTAGCAATTTTAGCCACAGGCTGTGGAATTTTTGTTTTCTTAAAGCAGCTTTCAGCAGTCCCCAAAAAACGAATTGCCTCTGAAAAATCATGGAGCATCAGCTTTGACCACAGGTTGGGAATAATGTTAAAATTTAAAGCACTGAAAAACAAGCCCAAACCAAACTAAGTAGCTGTACTGACAGCGGGGTGCAGAGATTTGGGGTAACATTTCCTGTTCTTGCTCCCTCTGTCCCCCTTTGCTCCTTTCTGTGTCTGTGTGGCCAGAACTGTCAATGCCTTCCGACCAGTATGAGCTGCAGCTTCAGAACAGCACCCCAGGCCCTGAAGGGGACCCAGCGAGGCTCGTGGCTGTCTTGACCCAGGACACGTCGATGGTCACTGCGCTGCAGCTGGGACAGATCAACCTTGTCCTCGGCCACAGGAGTATCCTCTTCTTGGGCGTGTGTGTATGTGTGTGTGTGTGAGAGCGTGTGTATGTGTGCACATATGGCAGGTCTGCTGTTTTGAAGTCACGTCGTCTTCTCCCTAGAAGCCAAGGCAAGGCTAAAAATAGCCGTGTCCCCTCAACGATCTGAAAATGGGAAAGACCCAAAGTAGCACCCCCACTGAGTGTAATCGCTCCTCTTAGAGGGTGACTCACCCGAGAGCTCCCAGGGACAGGGGTGATGGCAGGATCTGAATGTCATTCCTTGCCTTCGGTACCTGTCGCCTGTCAGTGGGGCCTGGCAGAGGCTGTTTCCATACCAGCATGTGGGTTGTTGATGCTCCAGACTCGTCGCTGTGTCCTGTGTGGTCTCTGGTGTCCTTTGGGGAGCTTCCTCTTTGTGAGTGTGGGAAATGTAGAGTGGCCTTTCACTCTGAAAAATGCTTAGGCCAAGAGGCGTTTTCATCTCCACTGCCACCCATGTGATGTCTTGATGCTGCTCGGGCGTCTGCATTGTGCTGCGGCCTACTGGCTGGTCTTTTTGCTTCCTGTGTCTTGTCCCTTAATGAACAACGCAGGTCTTCGCATGCAGGGTGCTTCTAGGCTACCCAACAGCACCATTTACGTGGTAGAACCTGGTTACCTAGGTAAGTGCGGACCTCCTACGTGCTGCTTGTGTGTGACTACATGAGTTTAAAAAAAGGCAGAAGCAGTAGCAGCTCCATACCCAGGTCAGCTCTGCCACCTGCGAGGGGCATCTGCTCTCAACTGTACCCTGGCCTAGGCCACTCCCCAGCCCTTCCCTGGACAGGACAGAGCGAGCTGAGCTGGGCGGGTGGAAGGCTCAGCAGGGCAAAAGGCAAGACGGAGTACAGTGGTGGGGCTCAGCCCCTCCTGGTGTCTACACCAGGGCTTTGCCAGGCCTGACCTTCGCGGTGGCTGTTTGGAGGCTTGGGGCCCAGTAGTCAGCTCAGTGAGAGGGGCGCCCTAAGCTGATGTGAACCATTGGCGTGCGACTTGGCAGAGAGGAGGGGAGGAGTCTAAGAGATGCTGTTTAAGGCGGGCACTTTCTCCAAGGGAGCGTCTTGACCACTGCGGTGGAGGTGAGAAAGCACCGGGAGTCACAGGGGACAGCAAGTGTCGTGCCGTCCTGCGTAGGAAGAGGGCAGAGAGGCCTGGGAGGACAGGGCTGTCTCACAAGGCGGCATCGGGGCCAGGCTTCAGCGCACGGGCCTCCTGTGGGTTGAGCGTGAATGCCCGCTGAGAACGTAGAGTGTATGCCCGCTGTGGCCTCCGAGCGCAGACCTGCCGAGGGTTTTGTAAGGCAGATCTACTAAGGGTTCAGAGGGAAAACCTACTGTGAAGAGCATAGACCTGCTGTGGTTTCATAGCTTAGACCTGCTGAGGGTTCCAGGGGGAGACAGTGAGTGGGTGTAGAGCCGCTGTGGATTCTGAGCACTGGCTCACTGAGGATAGGCTGGAGTTTGAGGCGCTTTTGCCCACAGCACGGGCTGTGTTCAGAGTCGGCCCTGGGGAGGTGAGCTCAGGACTTGGGGCTGATGGCAGACATTGCTTGTCACCCTCCTCAGCCGCGTGGCCTTCCTTAAGTCGGAGGCCGGTGCGTCGTTGCAGGGCCTTCCCGGTGGGCCACGTGAGGCTTCTGCTCTGGTCACATCCCGCTGTCCAAGCCTGCCGCCCCTGAGGTCTGAGGGCTCAGGCTCCCGTGCTTGCCTTTCTTAGGGCTCACCGTCTACCCTGGGGACAGGTGGGTGCTGGAGACAGGCCGCTCCTATGAAATCACCATCGAGCTGTTTGACAAGTCCAGCAACAAAGTCTACCTGTCAGATGTGAGTGCGCAGTCAGGTCCTGCCAGGGTGATGAGGTGGGGTTGTCTCCTGAGGCGGCTGCTGGAAGAGCAGCCCTCAAAGCCACAGGCGCCCCCACACGGGTGGACCGAGGAGGGGTCCTCTGCTCCCTGTGGTGCTCGTGGGTGTGCAGGAGACGCTGTCCTGGCAGGCCTGGGCCTGCGATTCTGCACACTCACCCCACCAACAGGCCTTCTGCAGAGCTGTAGGGGAGACGGTGTCCCAGCAACAGGACTCGGGGAGATGGGGTGGGGAGGTGGGAGGTCTTCACCTGCTGCTCTCCTGTCCCCTTCTCACTGACTGGGAGCTGCCCGGGAGCATGGGTCATGGGTCATGCAGGGAGGGTGGCCTGGAAGGCTTCAAGGCCAGAGTCCTCAGAGCTCCATCCAGCCCACCTGTCTGCTTGTGGAGCCCTCTAAGCCTCGTGGCCCCTTGGCCTGCCCTGGCCTGCCTTGTAGCTTCTAGCCTTAATTCTGAGTTTTTGAGTCACCCCAGAAGCCCCTCTCACCCATCCTGCTTGCCTTCCAGAACATCCGAATCGAAACCTCGCTTCCTCCTGAATTCTTTGAGGTGCTCTCATCTTCCCGGAATGGGTCGTACCATCACATCCGGACAATAAAGAGAGGCCAGACAGCCATCAGTGCAGCCCTCACCTCTGTGGTGGACCAGGCAAGTTGGTGTCTCCCTTCTCTGTCCCTGCGCCCACACAGCCTGCCTCTGTAGCAGGGTTGTTGGCCCAGGTGGGGACATATGTCCCTGGGAGTTGGAAGCTCCAAGCTTCGCCTGGCTGCACCCCCTCCAGGTTCTTGGGGCATCCTTCCCTCTCTGGCCTCGGTCCTCAGCTTTCCTGTGGCTACCTGCAGCTGGGGGTGTGGGGCTCCTCCTGTTCCCATACTGAGCCAGGGTGCCCTCTTCCTCACCTTTTCCTGCCCTGTCCAAGTAGTCTGCGCCCTCAAGGACTGGGGCTAGAAATCCTTGTTTGGGGAAACAGCTTCGGGCTGTGTGTCTGGCTGTGCCCCAGCCGGGACCCAGTAGCACGTGTTTTGGCTTCTTGGTCCTGCACGTCGTTTTTGCCTTTGTGTTCACAAGGTCAATCAATTTAGGTGGAAGTGGTATTTTACAAATTAGAAAACTGGCGTGGGTGTTCTCATTTCTCAGCATGCACAAACTTCCCCAGATATGTGGGAGGCCGCAGGCTGTAGCAGAAAGAAAGGTCTGTGCACCAGACAGTGCTTTCTGGAGAGTTGATCACCTCAGCTCTGGGGCTTGGGCTCGTTGTTTTAGAACCCCAAGCCTTAGTTTCTCCTCATAAAGTGGGGGAAACCACTTCTGTCCTGCCAGGGCTTTCCTGAGGATTCATTCAGGCAGCATTTATGGGAGTGGCCATTCCAGAGCCATGGAAAGCCATCCCCATGGAGACCAAAAAGGCTGCAAGGTGCCTGGCATCTTCCTTTCCAGTCTTTCACAAGCACAAAATCCACTTTTGTGGCCTGATCCCCAAAATCAGGAGGGGTGAGTGTGCGGGTGAATGGGAAAAACTGCTGATGACCTGGTTGTCATAGTGATGTGTGGTGACCTCACCCCTTGTAGGACGGAGGGGTCCACATGCTACGGGTACCTGTGTGGAACCAGCAGGAAGTGGACATTCACATGCCCATCACCCTCCATCCCAGCATCTTGACATTTCCATGGCAACCAAAGACCGGTACCTATCAGTATACGATAAAGGTACAGATACTCCCTTCTCTGGGTACATTCCTTCGGGTGTTTCCATGGGATTGTGGCACTTTTTTTTTTTTGAGTTGGAGTCTCGCTCTGTCACCCAGACTGGAGCTCAGTGGCATGTTCCTGGCGACCGCAGCCTCCACCTGCTGGGCTCCGGCGATCCTTTTGCCTCAGCCTTCCAAGTACTGGAACTACAGGCGTGCACGACTACGCCCAGCTAATTTTTTATTTATCCATAGGGACAAGGTCTCGCCAAGTTGCCCAGGTGAGTCTTGAACCTGCAGGCTCAGGCAATCCACTCGCCTCGGGCTTCCAAAATGCCGGGATTACAGGCTGAGTCACTGAGCCCGGCGGCTGAGTCACTGAGCCCAGCCGGGATTGTAGCTTTTGCTCATTCTGTTATTTTTAATGTTACTCTCTTGTGGCTGGGGAGTTTCTTTTTGTTTGTTTGTTTTTGAGTTGGAGTCTCACTCTGTTGCCCAGGCTGGAGTGTAGTGGCACAATCACAGCCACCCCAGCATTGACCTGCTGGGCTCCAACAGTCCTTCAGCCTCAGCCTCCCATGTAGACGGAACTACAGGCACATGTTACCACACCTGACTAATTTTTGATTGTTTTGTTGGAGAGATGAGGTCTTGGCAAGTTGCCCAGGCTTGTCTTGAACCCACCCTCTAAGGCAATACACTCGCCTCAGCCTCCCAAAGTGCTGGGATGACAGGCTGAGGTACTGAACCTGGCCGGTTAGAGATAATTTTAAATCAGAATCTTGGTCAGGCTCAGTGGCTCAGCGGCTCAGCCTGTCATCCCAGCACTTTGAGAGGCCGAGGTGAGTGGATTGCCTGAGCCTGCGGGTTCGGGACCAGCGCGGGCAAATTGGTGAGACTTCATCCTTACAATAAATGAAAAAATTGGCCAGGTGTGGTAGTGCGCGCCTGTAGTTTCACCTACTTGGAAAGCTGTAGGTGGAACAATCGCTGGAGCTCAGCAGGTTGATGCGGGGGTGACTGTGAGCGTGCAGCCGCACTTCATCTGGGCAACAGAGTGAGACTCTAACTCAAAAAAAAAAAAAATCAGTCTTTATGAGTCTTATTTCCTGAGGTTTCCATCATCACAATGTAATTTAGATCACCGGGAAAACATCAAAAACTAACAGCTAGAAAATACAGGAAAGAAAATACAATTTAAAAAGTCCTGGAATACAGATTTGAATTCCACTTAAAAGACTTTTCTAAATTGCTTTGTGAAAGCTATCTGTATATAGTCTTAGAGACAAATGACCAATTCAAAGCAAAACCGTCTCCAGCCTTGTCGTATATCAAGGGTCCGTGCTCTGACCTTCTGGCTCCCACGTGGCCTTAGCCGGCAGGACTCACCTTGGATGGGGCTCGCGTTCTTGTGGTCAGCACAGGACCCATTGGTCCTTTTGTTCCCTTGGAGGGCCAGAGACTGAGCTCTGGGAGGTGCCTCTGGGTTCTGGGACCCCTGCCTTGGGTCTGTGTATGACAGTCACATGGTACCCAGAACGTGAGGCCCAGAAACAAGACAGCTTGGAGAAAGTGAGGGCAGATGGAGCCTCCAACCAGACCTTGGCTGATGCTACGGTTTTCCTTGCTGTGTGTGTGTGTGAGAGAGAGTAGGAGTAGGTGAGTTTATATGGGTTTGAGTATGTGTATCAGTGTGATTGCATGTGCATGTGAGTGTGATTGTGTGTGTGAGATATGTGAGAAAGCATAAGTGGGTGTGTGCATAGTGGGTGAGGGTGTGTGTGAATTAGCTGGGGAGTGTGAGCGTGTGTGGGAGGGTATGTTGAATGTGTGTGAGTGGATCAGTGTAGATGAGTAAGAGGGTAACGTGTGAGCATGTGGATGTGAATGGGTGAGCTGTGTGAACGAACATGTATGAGTGTATGTGTTCATGAAGGGGTGATAATGGATGTGTGAGCGAGGGGGTGAGCATGTGTTAGTGTGAGTGTGTGTGTGAACATGTGAGTGTAAGATTAAATGTGAGTGTAGCGTGGGCAAGCGTGTGTGAGTAAGCATGTGTGAGGGTGAGTGTGAGTGGGCGTGAATGCATGTGAACGTGTGTATGAGCATGAGTGAGTGTGAGTAGGTGATTGTGAGTGTGCACATGTATATGAGTGTGAGTGGCTCATAAGAGCATGTGCTTGAGTGGGTGTGAGTAGGTGCGCGTGTATCGGCATGTGAGCCTGTGGGTGTGAATGGTGAGTGTGAGGGTGGGTGAGTGTGGGGGTAAAGGTGTGTGTGATCACGTGGGTGTGGGCCATGAGTGGGTGAATGAGAGTAAATGTGTGAGTGTGTGCGTGCATGTAGAGTGTGAGCGGGCGAGTGCGTGTCCACGTACACGCACTTGTCTCCAGCCCCCTGGCGTCCCCAGTGAGGACAGGGCAGGTGGCTGGGCCCATGGTGCTGCTTCCTCCCTAGGCCCATGGCGGCAGCGGGAACTTCAGCTGGTCTTCGTCAAGCTACACAGTTGCCACAGTCACCGTCAAGGGAGTGATGACCACAGGCAGTGACACTGGCCTCAGTGTGATCCAGGCACACGATGTCCAGAACCCACTGCATTTTGGTGAGATGAAGGTGAGGCCTCAGCCCCAGGACAGCCCTGGGGAGGCTCGGGGTGGTTGTGTCCAGCCGCTCCCTCTTACCTAGCCCTCAGGCTTCATTCAGAAACACCCCTTAACCTTTTGGCCTCCAGGTGTGTGTGATTGAGCCCAGCAGCATGGAGTTCACCCCATGTCAGGTGGAGGTGCGCGTGGGCCAGACCCTGGAGCTGCCTTTGAGGATCAACGGTCTCATGCCTGGCGGGGCGGCGGAGGTGGTCACCCTGAGCGACTGCTCCCACTTTGACTTGACGGTGGAGGTGGAGAACCAGGGCGTGTTCCAGCCACTCCCGGGTAAGGCAGCACTGCCGAGCAGGACCAGACAGGCAGACATGGATCACCCAGATCTTCGACCTGAGGAAGCAGAGGGGCCGCACCATCAACCGTGGGCTTGTCTCCTTGTCCACCGTCAGCTCCAGTCTGGTCTGGCTCTTGTCCACCGTGGCAGGTGACTGGCCCCTCGGTCACTCAGATGTCTGAGCTGAGTGTCTCCTGAGTGGGATTTCACGTCAACAGGCCCGTTTCAGTGCCTGGAGGTGGTCGGTGCTCAGAGTGCGTTGCTGATGGGGGTTTTGGCTGGTTCCAGAGGCGAAGCCCCCATGACATGCAAGGCCAACCCTCCTGAGCCCCTCTCTTCTGCAACATCTGCTGTGGGGTTTTGGCGGTGACATCCGTGGTGACCCTGGCAGCGGCATTGAGCTTATTGAGGGACAACTCTGCAGGTGTAAGAGCAGCATGTTGTACACGTGACCTCACTGAGACCTTGAAACAGTGTAGAAGGAAGTGATGATGGGCTCCATGTCAGATGGAGAGGCTGAGGCTGTGCCACTGCCCAAGGTCACACACGGTCTGGACCGAAGATCTGGGTGAGCCTGACAGTGACCTGGAGTTTAATCCAATCTGTGAGGCGGGGCCGGGGGAGTTGGCCCAGATGGGCAGGGTTTCCTCTCTCATCTGCAGCGAAGACAGCCAAAGGACCGGTGAGCTGTTGAGCAAGTCACTATTGAGTAAGATTCCAGCAGGGTGTTGGAAGGAACAGGGATGGATAGTGTTTGGTGGCAGGGATGCCTGCGACAGGACCCCAGGTGGGCCGGCCTGTGCTGCTTGTGCACAAGGCGGACCCGGAATGCCAGGAACTGAGAATCTTGGAGGGCTCTGGGGGACTTAGTGGTGCCACTGAAGGTCTTTGAGCAGACGAGTGGTGTGCTGGCAGGGTGGAGGAAGCTCGATTGGCAGAAGTGTTTGTTGGACCGCCTGTGGTGCCAAGCGGTTTTACAAGCTGCTGTAGCTGCGATTGCCTGCAGAGCTGTTACAGGTCGCAGTTGCCGAGGAGAGGGCAATGTCTCTGAAAAATCCCTGTGCAAACCACGTCCGGGAGAAACCCAGCTCATGAAAGAAATCTACAGTGTTCTCCACACGTCACCATTTAGGATGGAGGATTGCGTTGCACAGGGGAGAGGCCCGCTGGCAACGGGAGATGAGCTGTCCCCTGTGCCTTCCCCTACATCCATCCTGGAGGGAGGTCTGAGGAGCACAGCCAAGCTTGGGGTCAGGTCCCAGGGAACAGCAGGGTTTGAACTGCACAGCGTTGGTCTGAGCCACTTCATCTGGTTATTATGGGCGGTGTGATGTCAGGTGTGCTGCCACCCTCTCTGAGCCTTGGGTTCTCCGTCGATACAAAGGGATGACGGGTCTTTCTTACTGTGACGGTTATACAAGAATATCCCTCCACACTGTGCAGACCTTTCTCAGGGACGTGAGTTCTGGCACAGCAGTCAAGGTAGAAATCCGGTGGTGTCAAAACTTGAGAAAGTGCCTTACATCTTTGCTGGTGTGGAGCGTTATGTGGCAATGTGTTGGGGTGTGTAGGGCCTAGGCTGCGTGAGAAAGATGTGTCTTGGACATCTTTTACAGGTGTCAGGGCAGAGAGATACTCAACTCATGGAAACCTTTGGGATCTGAAGACAGGCCGGGTCTGCAGGTGGATCTGTCACTTTGATGCCCTCCCTGGGCATACTCGCCTCAGAATTAGATCCTGTATTAGGTCACCTCTTCTCCGTCCCCAAGTTCAGGTCACACGTGATAGGACTCTGGTCATGGCTCTGAAGAAGGGGCTACATCAGGTCCCCTCGGTGGCCCTGCCCAGGCCTGCCCTCCCCAGCAGTACCCTCCAGCTCTACCGTCTTCCCACTGGACCCCATTTCTGCCGTGCCCACGTGGTTGGCACCTTCTCAGAAGCCCCTCGGCTGTGGGCACTACTGGGAAACTCCCCACAGAGACCCCAACTCCCTTGATGCTTGGCTGGGCTCCCACTCGGGAGTGTGGACACCTCTCCCTGGCCCTTTCTCTGCTCACCCACTTCATTGACATGATGCTCCTGGTCGCTGAGCATCTACCGGGTGACAGTCTCTGGGGGGTCCCTTGTTAATGAGAGCCAGAGCGCCCTAGAGAGAGGGAGCTAGACATGGTCTCTCCCTTCATGGTGCTTGTAGGTTAGCAAGTCAGAGTTCCTCAGGCCATTCAGTGCCCACGATAAAGTGCGCTGTAGTTGAGTAAGCACAGGTGCTGTGAGCGCCATCCCACGCTACCCAACAGAAAGGCCTCAGCATGGTGCCCAGAAGAACTGCTCAGAAGATGGAAGTCGAAGCCAGTTTGGCATGTCTGGAAAGGCTGCTTAGAGGAAACCGTAGCTCAGCTGAGAACCACCAGGGAGCAGGAGGGAAGTTGGAAGGGAAGACGGCAAGGCTCTGAGTCTTAGCTGGGCTGTGGGTTTCACAGGTGTGTGGGCTTGTCAGAGCCCAAGAGGGGTCCTCTTCAGATGTGTGCACGCTGCTGGGTGCAAGTTTGACCGTTGGGAAAAACAGCCATACCCATAAACCTGTGGGCAAACATTTAGTATGAGGCATGCTGATGTTTGCAACTTCAAATACATACAAAAATAAGATCAGTTGATGGGTGGATAGAGGGGTGGACAGGCTAAGAGGAATCCAGCCAACTGTCCATGGTAGGGGCTAGGTGATGGGTAAGTGGATGTTCAGAGGATAATCGTTTCACCTTTGCTGTATGCTTGACAATTTTCCTAAGAAATGTTATGCAAATAAAACATAATGCCATCACACACTCATCAGAACCAGTTTTATAAAAGATGGGAAATAGCAAGTCTTGGCAGGGGTGCCGGGCAGTGGTTAAGAGCAGGGACAGTCCACGCAGCCACTTTGGGAAAGATTGGGCAGTCATGACAACAGCCGAACGTGTGCCTGCCCTCAGGCCTGGCAGTGCCCTTTTCCTAGCAATACCTCCACCAGATGTTGTGGCGTCCTCCAGGTAAGGTCCACACACAGCAGCACTGTGGATCAGAGTCCCCATCTGGAAGGGACCCAGATACCCACTCTCCGCCTGAGCTGCAGCCCCAGGGCAAGCAGCAAGTGGTTTCTGTTCAGGGCCCCTAAGGTGTGGGGTCCTCTGCTGCTCAGCAGTGGGAGCTGTGCGCACGTTGCTCACTTCCCTTCTCTTTATCTGGGCACACGCACGGTGTGCTTTTCTATTTCTGTGAATAGAAAAATGATGACAAGGCCATGTGAAGTGTGAGCAGCACTTGTGAGATGGGGAGGACTATGGGCATTTTGGTTTCTCTTCCGAGGAGCAGGGTAACATGGGGTGAAGAGCACGGACTCTGAACCCCGACCATCCGGGTGCAAGGCCCAGCTCTGCTCTCTACCAGCTGTGGTCCCCTAGGCAGATGACTGGACTTCTGTGCGACCTGGCTGCCACAACTGGAAGTAACAATAGTGTCTCGCTGCTAGGATTGTGATGTGAGTTGAGACATGCAAGCCGCACTCAGTGAATATTAGCTCTCTTCCAGTTATGCGTGGTAACTGTGCATCAATTTTGTGATGAGAAATGTGTATGTGAGCATATTTTGAGAGGCCACCAGGAAGGATCTGATAAGAGGCGCTAACTGCCTAGAAGTTTGCCTCGGTGGAAGGAGTGCTAGGAACAACTAATGTGTGCTGAAACAATGCTAATCTCTGGGCACGCTTGTATCTATCGCCACTACTGTTTTGTCGATGATGAAGGGGTTGCATAGGAAGCCAAGCCTGAGAGCACACAGCCAGGGCTGGCAGAACCGGGGCTCTCAGGAGCCCAGGAGGGCTGAGGCAGCCTAAGAGTGTTCCTAAGGGCAGAAGGTTCTGGAGGAGATGGGGTACCCCGTCTCCCAGCCTGCTCTGCCCGCACTGTGCTGGCAAAACCACATCATCACTATTCGGGAGCCAGGGAAAGTGCCTTCATTTGGTTGTCCTTGGGATTCCCCGAGGCTCTGAGAAGACACCTGACCATTGGAGGGCCGATGTCTCTGCCAACGCTCCACTTTCCCTTCATTCTGACCTCCGTCCTGGAGACGCTGGGG